CTAGAATAGAGCAGTCTGAGGGTAAAATGCAATCATTGATGACGAAAGGGCCTCAGAGAGGTGTATATCGAGAAAGCTCCATGTTGTATAGTAATGCATGTAGACCTAGTTAGTGTAACAGGTTTCGTAGTACATCCTCAACAAATAAGTTACAAGATGCAAGACAAACACGGTTGTGGTTTACACGTGTGCAAGAGGTGCATACAGGAGTGAACTGTGAACCAGTGAGCAAGTTCAGTGATAAGCTGAATGTAAACTCCAGGCCTGACTCCGAATTGTGTGACGATAACTGTGCGGTCAGGAAGTCTGTAGTTGCAACTGGTAAGCCATTGTTGAATAAAGTGTCACAGAATAGAGTTACTGCTTCAGAGTGGAGTTCTGACTCCAAAAGTTTACAAAGTATAACTAGTCAGAGTGAAGATATAAAACCTTTAATGATTTGTGAGGAGGAACCAAAATTGTCTACTTCTGTTATTAAAGAATTTGAAAATGATGAACTTGACGGTAAATTGAATATTTGTGGTAATGATCATGATAGTGCAGATTTGTCTTTGGTTGATCATGATGAAATGGAGGGAATGCCTACTACCGCTAAGTTAAATAAAGGTTCTGCAGAACTTGTACGTGAAGTAGAAATAAATGCAGGTGCAGTTGCAGAAGGCATGCGTACTTGTGAGACCGTCAGTGTGATTGATCGGCATGTAGCCCATCTATCATCAGATGATAGTGCTGAACCTGAGCTGATAGTAAAAGACAGCAGTGGTTATAGTCTTGTGATTAGACAACTTTCTAAAACCGAACAACAACAGCTTCTGATCCACCGCTAACTTCATCAACTGATATCAAACAGTCGTCGTTAGTGCTGTCATCCACAATGAAACAGACACACATCAACTCAAGTATCTTGTGCAATGACTATGCTAGTATCAGTTCGTTTGAAAGGACGAATATCAGTGGTCAGTTTAGTGTGGATAAGCCAAGTGTAAACGAGAGAGTAATTGTTAAATTGACTTGCACGAATAAAGGCATTTCTAGTTTCAAGTTACTATTTGAATGTTATTATCTTTGGTGTAAATTACTCTGTTTCTATACTTGGTTGATGAGATATGTCGTGTGTTTGTTGGTCATCTATATTCTACGATACAATGACATGGGCGTGTTACCGTTCAGATTCGAGGATATAGCTGATAGAAGGAAGTTAGCAAATGAACTCTGCGACGATTTTCCAACCTAGGGCGTCAACCTGAGAAGCGTTGTAGGCGTACTGGTGTAAGTCCTACAGTTCTTCAAAGGGTAGCGCATCAATGAGCAGTCCAATGTGCTTGGTGTATGATCTTGTACATATGTTCATATTGTATATACTGAATTGATATCATCTGTCATCTAGCTGTTGGTAATTCTGTCTGTGTCCGGACGACTTCCACTTGGATCATCAACCTGAGAAGGATGTAGGCGTACTGCTGTAAGTCCTACAGTTCTTCAAAGGAATTCCACCAAGAGATTATCGGCGAGGTTGTTTGTACTATTTCCATATACGTGTGGTGTGTCATAGCAATTGGTGTATTTTGGATTCATTGTGTTTACTTGTTGTTTTCGTGTCATGTTGTTATTGCGTAATTCTGTTAAAATTTTCGTCGTGATTATTTCTGAAGTTGTTTCGAGTCTTCTACATCCATGAATGAATTGATTGATGTTAAGGACAGCAGACGGGTCGTAAACGCCGGGGAGGCTAGGCTATTGCTGAGAATGAAATGCACACGGAGATAATTGTTAGCTGCGGTCCGACACGCCGGGGAGAAAGAGTGTAAACGACTGAGGCTCGCATGCGTCACCGCTACTAGAATTGAGGCAGAATGAGTGACAAGCGATTGCAGTGGTAATTGGTAATGAGTAGATAAGAGGATGTGCGTAGAGTATCGTGAGGTCCCGCCATGGTCACTTTGCATTCTGCGAGACTCATTCTAGCAAATGGCGATTGTGTTGCAAGATGTCAAGAGGAGGTCTCTGTCTGGACGCGCAGGTCGTCATTGATGTGTGAGATTGTGCTGTGGGTATGCTTGTGGTGTGTTGGCTTTTCTGTTTGTTTTCCATTTCAGCTCTGTCCGTGTGACCCAGGTTCTCGCAATGGCATCCAAGTCAACGTGTATTGGTCGTGAAGGGAAAAAGGGTTGGATCCCTTTTTCTGGCGGGGAGTGTTAATGGAGTTGAAGATTGAACGATCAATTCTTGGTTGTTTGCTCAAAATCAACTTCCCCAATTTTCGCGGAGGCATCAATACGACAGTCATCGTCTCATCGGTCGCTGTTCAGAAAGAAGAGTGAAACATCGTCAGAAGTAATCTTATGATTTATTATTGTAATATTTGTTCACAGACCTTAGTTCACTTATTCCTTTTATAATTATAACAATAATAATTATTTCTGTAACAGAAACCAGCCAACAATAAAGAAATCTCAAGCGGCTGATCGGTGTTTTGGTTTTTTCGTCCGTTATAACTAAGCGTTTCTGAAATCTTCAAGGAACAGCGTGGGCCCGAGCGTAGCGAGAGCTGGGCATTAACGGTTTATGAGACGTGAATGACAGGATTTCTGTACTTATCTCCATGTAAGACAACCCAGAGTGAGTCAGGTACATTATTCATTATTTCATCTTCCACCTTACTAGCTACAAATGAGCTACGTATATATATGAGACATCCTCCACCACTCTTGCAATCTCTGTTTGCACGGTGTACAGTGTAATCATCGATAGCTATATGCACATCAAGTACAGAGGATGAGCACCATAACTCAGTAATCAGAGCTACAGTAGGCTTGGCGACTAATAATAATGTCCTTAGTTCAGATATCTTATTTATTAAGGAACGTGCATTAATTAGCAATATCCTGAATAAGTCACGGGATACTACAAACTGGCTTAAAATGTCACCATAACCTAAATCCATTTGTGCGTCAGCACCGCAAGAGTTCATGAATGAAAGGGAGGTTTGACTGAGTGTCTGTACATCGGGGTTGGTGTGCAATGAAGGCTCAAGGCACAACGAGAAAGGATGAGTGTGCTGTCTGACATAACACGCATGCATTGAGTGATTACAATCGCTTCATTGCTATGTCCCCTACAGAATGGTCAAAAATGGCAAAACAGAAACGTCTGTGTTTCAGTTGTTTAAAGATGAGGTATACAAAGTTGAATTGTAAGGCGACAGAAAAATGAAGTGGTGGTTCAACCGATGTGCACCCACTTCTGAGGACAGTAAACGAACCAGCTAATTTGGTTAATTGTAATAGTACCTTTGGACCCCTTGGCAACCCACAAGTTTATTTAAGGGTATTACCAGTTAAGGTGAAAGGACAGAAACCCCCGGTAGAGACTTATGCACTGTTGAATAATGGTTCAGACGCTAGATTGATAGATGCTAAGCTGGCTGGCTGCTTGGGTATTAAGGGCCCAAAGCAATCATTGGTTTTATCACTTTCAATTCTTCGAAAACGGTAGTATGTGAACAAGTGTCATTTCATTTAGGATCCTTGACTACTGGAGAAACCGTTGAAAAAGATACTGCTTACACTACATTCAGTATGAAACTCGACGAAGCTATAGTACCTTGTCGTGAAACAGTTGTCGCTAAGACATACCGGTGTGAAATTTCATGTGGGCCAAATCGAATAAACTGTAAATGTCCATGTCTTACTTCGCTGGATCTCACGCTATCCCTCGAAGACTTTCAGAAACCACTTCTAATAACCAAAGCAAAAAACCAGAACACAAATTGGCGACTCGAGAATCATTTATTCTTACGCCAATATGTAACCAAAACCAGGGTGATTATACACAAGGCCTAAGAATAAATGCCATAACAATAAATCACGATAATACATCTGATAGTTCTCTGTCTTCCACTGAACAGGGAACGATGAGACTGTGACTGCCGTATTGATGACTGCCGCGAAAAATATAGAGTTGGGCATGAGCAAACAACCATGAATTGATCATTCAATCTTCAAAAACATTGACATGTATATAAATGAGATTGAACAGCTCTGTGAATGAATTCGCCATCAAAGAGAGTCTCCTCACTGAACGTCTTTTATTCTTCATATGACTCAACGGGAATTTTCAAGCTACATTTATATTTGGCTGGGCACGATGAGATAAGCGGAACGCCTACTTCTACTGAGTTTAAAAAATGTTCAATACAACTTGAACGTGAAGCCATATAACTCTCCGCGGTACGTTCGAATCTGGTGAAACTTTTGCACGTGTTTTCGCTGATATTCATTTTTCTGTCCTGCTATATTATCACTAATAATAATGGGCAAAAGCAATGAAAAGCATGTTTTTAGAAAAACACTAGCGATTTGAAAAATAGCTTAAGCTTATAGAGTAACGCATTTTCACCCCTTAAATCAGCCGCAGTTAGTAGTTCACCCAATATAAACGGTTCCAACATAATGCTAACCCCTGTAATTCAGGTGGAAGATATCCTGTCACAAAAGGCAGAGAATACTAACTTAGTCTGCATCATAAATGACATGCAGCTACAAATAAATGACCTCAGGACAAAACCAAATCAACTTGACCTGGTACCAGAAACAATTCTCCATCTCAAAAAGGAACTGGGGGGTCTCACTTTACTAAAACTCTTTAAGCTCAGGACTAAACCAACCGATGCTGAATTGGAACATGCTAAGGAGCTAGAAAACGTTATCAACTATTTGTCGAGCGAAGTTGTTAAGAGACTTGCTTCTAAGCAGAACGCCATAGTATACAACATACCTGACAAAAAGCCCATAAAATCGGTTGAGCGTTCCTTGTTAAGAGCTGCCAAACTCTTAAGCACACCCAGTCAGTGTATAAGATTAAATAAAAAGGAGACCACCTATCATCAGATGCTAGTGCTAGACCTGAGCTAATAGTAAAAGACAGCAGTGGTGGTGGTCTTGCAGTTAGACAAATTTCTGAAAGCAGAACAACAACAGCTTCTGATCCATCGCTAAGTTTATCAATCAGTCGTCGTTGGTGTTGTCATCCACAATGAGAAGGACGCCCATGAACTCAAGTATCTTGTGCAATGACTATGATAGTATTGGTGCATTTGAAAAGACGAAAGATACTGTTCAGTTTAGTGAGGATAAGCCAAGTGCGTACGAGAGGGTAATTGTTAAATTGACTTGCATGAATAAAGGTTTTTCAAGTTCCAAGTTACCATTTGAATGTTATTATCTTTGGTGTGAATTACTCTGTGCCTACGCTTGGTTGGTCAGATACGTCGTGTGTTTGTTTGTCATCTACATTCCACGATACAATGACATGGGAGTGTTACCGTTGAGATTTGAGGATACAGTTGATGGAAGGAGGTTATTTATTATTATTATTTAGTAGTAGTAGTAGTAAATGAACTCTGCGACGATTTTCCAACCTAGGGCGTCAACCTGAGAAGGGTTGTAGGCGTACTGCTGTAATTCCTACGATTCTCCAAGAGTAGTTCATCATGGCAGAATCCTCCACATTTGATGTGTTGATTGTACATATGTTTGTGTTAAATAATTGTGTGAGTTCCAATTATTGTAATTGTTGGTTAATCTTGTTTGTGTCTGGACATTCTTCAACTTACAACCGTCAACCTGAGAAGGGTTTCAGGCGTACTGGTGTAAGTCCTGAAATTCTTCAAAATAATTCCACCAAGACATGATCCGCGAGGTTATTTGTACTGTTTGTGTATACGTGTGGTGTGTCTTCGCAATTTGTGATTTTGGATCAGTTGTGTTTACTCGTTGTTTTCGTGCCTTGTTGTTATTGCATAATTTTGTTAAAATTTTCGTCGTGATTACTTCTGAAGTTGTTTCTTGTCTTCTACATTCGTGAATGAATTGATTGAAGTTAGAGACAGCAGATGGGTCGTATACGCCGGGGAGGCTAGGCTATTGCTGAGAATGAAATGCATACGGGGATAATTGTTAGCTGTGGTCCCACACACCGCGGAGCGTGAGTGTAGACGACTGAGGCTTGCATACGTCACCGCTACTAGAACTGAGGCAGAATGAGTGACAAGCGATTTCAGTGGTAATTGGTAGTGAGTAGATACGAGGACGTGCGTGGAGCATCATGAGGTGTTGCTACCGTCACGTTGCATTCTGCAAGAGTCATTCGAGCAAGTGGCGATTGTGTTGCAAGAGGATGCCTTTAACTGGAAGGCGCAGGTCGTCATTGATGTGTGAGATTGTGCTGTGGGTATGCCTGTGGTGTGTTGTTAATCGCCCCATTCTGCAGGAACGGCAATATGCAATTTGACGACTCGAGAGTTTTCTAATTTTTCTGAGGGATTAGATCTTTATCTTGAAATGGATAACAGTGAACGCCTAGACAAATCACACTTCTACCTTTAAACATATGCCATTTGCTCAGCCTATTGTTGAGGTGCAGCCACGTGGGATCTGTACGGATTTATGGGGCATCTTATAGATTAACTTGCTATCCATTGTCGGATCTATAAATACCACTTCACGATGTCTTATCTCATTTATTTTCTAATAACGTTTTTACTTGATCCTCATTATATTCCATTAAACCTAACATTTTGTAGCTCTCTATGAATTTGATTAGACTCATTGTATTCCTATTATCTATAAGGTCCGTCTGTGCATCAAAGAGAGAAAAATTCATGAAACAAAAACAACTGGCTTGAAAATAATTGTATTAAAGCCAAAAGTGGACATCATGATAGTACGAACTATATGGGTAGCATTTTACATTGCAAATGAACGTTGTCAGCCTACGGATTAATTAGTTTCCCATTTTATTTCCTATATAAATGCGTTTATTAATGATACATTGCTCTTACTTATTTCATTACACTTTATTGACTCGCCTTAGCATTTCTGCTTTTCTAAAACAGCTTTCAATCCCTTGTAAAAGTTGTACTTACCTCAATATCGGTTGGTTATCGTATGCCTACAACCACGGGACGAAAACGAAACGAAGTCGATTATCCCGCGCCAACTGGCGGACAACTGCACAATTCAATAAGATAACGGCCTGGTTCAGACAATGAGTGTATTTTATATATATATATCAAATAACTAGCTGTTGAAATATAATTAACTTGTAGACAATCTACGATTTGATATTATATCATGTTTTTGACACTACCTATTGTAAATGTGGAAGATTTTTGTGTGATTAATTTTTATTTATAATTTGGTGAAACTAGATGCAATATTGTGATTAACGCTGAAAATTCTATTCTGTATCACAAGTACTGTTTTTGGAATAAAGTAAATCATTATTATTATTGATCGTGCCTATAAAAATGGCTTGCATTTTCATGTAAATTTATATGTACATATGAGAATACACATTAAAATTATTATAAGAATGAAGTGTTGGTATCTGTTTTGGGTAGTCATCAGACCATAGCAAGCTTTGTGCAGAAATCGGCACACGCTTCCCACTGGATACATAAGGTGTATGAATGGCTTCTGTTGGCTTGCTAAATGTGGTCTGTGGCGAGCATTCTGCCGCTGTATCACCGACACACTATATGATCACTAACGGCATGCGATATGGAAAGAGCTAAAAGCAGTTGACTATATTTGTCTCCCGAAAGATGATACTAAAATTAGGTGCAATTTTCAAAAAACAAAGTTTAACGAACAAAGAGATTATGTATGCGAAGTGTATGTGAAAGTGACGTGTCACATACTGACCTACCAATCAATTTATCACACTATGTTTGCTGGAGTAAGATTAATTTGGTAGTCGGAGGGTGGTTGGTGTGATAGACTCCATCAACCAATCAGTCTGGTAAATTGGTTCGTGTTAGTCTGGTTCATACGTCAAGAAATAACATCTACTAATTTTGAAGGAATTGGCTTTATTCACATCACCTCTACAGCCTTGAATGTCCCATTACTATATGCACAATGTTACATTAGGCCTAGCAAATTTATTCTCCTTTGATTTCCTTTTTGACCATGAAGTGTAGTGACTTCCACTGAGTCGTTAGGGCCCAAGACCTTTTGATGCTCGTGTGTTAGATCCTCCTACTTATCCAATTGACTCGGCAGCAAATGGACAATCTACGATAAGTTTACACTCAAACCAGGCACTTGTGGTTAGACAGACAGACAGACTTGTGGTTAGTAAATATGCATTTTTATTTTGCGAAACCTTTGGAGGGTTAATGAATCAACCATTCTATACAAAACTTAACTCTAATAAACCACAGAAAATTAAGTCTTAATAGATGAACGAAATGCACAGTAACCAAAATCATCAAAATGTACTAGAGAGTAAAGAAGGTATTAGTAGTTAAAACTAGTAATGATTACCTTGTACAAGATGCCGCCACGTGGCACTGACTGTAAAAGTAGCAAAGGCGTGCAGTTCTTCACTGCTTCACGAACTACGGCTATTGGATTTATAACAGTATTTTCACCATCCGGACTGCCTGCACTACCTTTGTTTTGTAGGGGACTAATATTAGAGTTCACTAACACTCCAAGTATAAAAGTAATAATCCAAGTCAGTGGAGTGTTAAACCACAATATATTACCAAAAATACAGTGACGAGTTATAGCAACAATAAGGATTACTTGGTTATACAGTATAAGTCCTCGGCTACAAATTAATTATATAATCCACAGGCACGTTAACTGTTTGGACTGCGTCTGCTGTAGCTGCTGTGTTCCGGTTGTAGAAATGTCTTCGGTTGAAAGTAGTAGGCTCCTACAATAAATCCGAAGTATACAACACGGTGTGAGTGCAGCAAGTAAGCAGAAGGGACCAGGGAAAAGACGAAGTCTCCAACAGCAGAGTGTATTTTTCAATTGTACACGGAAGTTATGTATATTTCAACAAGAAGCGTTTTAAACAAAAATTATGTACAATATCTCGAATTTATACAAGTAACCAAAAAGTGTACAATCACATTGTTACGTACTCAACAGTTTTTCCTTATCTACAAGAATTGATAAAATTACAAACAAACCGTAAAAGTACCTGTATCAATTTAATTTCCCTAAATGTCATGCGCATGACGTCTCTCGCGACTTCTCTTTCTCCTCTTATGGTCATCATTCCAACAATTCTTGAAACAAGATCATCATAATTTGACCCCGTATGCTCCCATTTGCCTGCCGGGGCAACAAATTTAACAAGGCGAGGGTCCTTTGAGTCTACCGCATCATCAGGACTAATCATTTTAGGTCGAAGAGCTGCTTAAAATCATTATCATTGGCTTACATTTTTATTCTTTATTCTATTCCTTCTTTATACATCTACTGGGTCCGACTATATTATCACTATGATTATTAAAAATTGTCCCGTCATTAACCATCATGTAACATTAGTTTTGTGGTTGTTCTTTGTTCGGCACTATTTAACTGACAATCTTGTTTGTTATTGCCACTATCACCATCTTAAAAAATTTTGTATTATGCATGATTCCTCACACTACCACTACAAACACTGCATTAGTGCTGACAATAAAAAAAAACACAACCTGAAATGTTTATCTTATGATTGCTTAGTGTTGTTCAATCAAATTAACTGATCATCTTAGCTATAAACATTTTTTTAAGAACATCTCATAATTTCCCGTATGATTTTAGCTGTTACTGTTCACCACGCATACACATATCGTAGCTTCCACTAACCAATACTGAAATATTTTTTCATTATATGTGTTTATCTTCCTTTTTACTTGGTATTTTTATTGCAATTTTTGTTATTTCTGTGTTTCTTTTTGGTTTTTTGTTGTTATTGTTTTTTTTGTTTTTTTTTAAATATTTTATTTTTTTTATAATACTCCTTTTAAATGTATGATGAAATTAGATGCAATATTGTAGATATGTGCTGAAAATTCCACACTGTACCACAAGTACTGTTTCTGGAATAAAGCGAAATTGTTATTGTTATTGTTAAATGATAAACGCTGGTTCTGAAGGACTGAAAATTTACAACCACACGCTGATTTTGACGACAAAATTATACTGAGACCCCACATACTCGGAGTTTTGGCCAACGGAGTATTCTGAAAAGAGTTGAAAAATCCTCACCAATCCCTAAGAACAGAAAAAACCTCAGCGGCGTAAAATATCTTACACACCGGACAACGAGCCATAATACTATATGTAAGACACCTAGTAGACGACACTTCAGTTTGAAGCAGTGAACAAATACCCAGAAATACGTGTCAAATAAATTATCATAATGCTAACATACAAATTCCTTTCGATTTACGCTTAATTTACCACATGTCAAATGTGTACGAGGCTGTCATTTAGGAGCCAAATATTATCTAGGTATAGATTTTTTTACCTTAAATTCGTCTAATTAGGTGATCGCAATTATATTTGCTTAACAAAAATAACTCAAAGGATGTACTTACACATGTATCGCTAGTACAATTCAACA